TTCCATCTCGAACGGTCGTCCATGATGTTTAAGTCAGTGGGTAGCCCCATTGTTCTCAAATCTGACCATATATTATCTCTCCATCGCATTCGTGGACGTCCTAAGGGCCTTGTCCCTGTCGGGACTTCTTCCCAGATTAACTTGGTAAGGCGGTTATTAGGGAGCCTATGAACATGACCAGCCCATCTTAGACGTTGGATTTAATCTCTTGGACTACGTCGCTAGCACTATACATTTGTTTGACCTCGGCATTTGTTCTCATTCGGTATTGGTTAGTATTCGGATCGTGATAGGGACCGAAGATATTTTTGAGGATTTTTCTCTCAAAGCATCTGAGTTTACTTTCCATTGCTTTTGTCAGCGTCCACGTCTGACACCCATACATGAGCACCGGTCTAATTACTGTTTTATATATCCTGATTTTTGATGTTCGTGTTATGCTCTTGGATTTAATAGTGTTGTGGAGGCTATACATACATCTGTTTGCTGCCTGAATTCTCCCTTTTATCTCTTCCGTGATATCGTTATCTGTGGTGATAGTCGCTCCGAGATATTTAAAACTCTCCACTCTTTCAAAGTTATAGGGGTCTATTGTTACATTTTGTCCTATTCTATCTCGTCTCTTTTATTTGTTAATGCACGTATATTTGGTTTTCTCTTCATTGACCCTTAGACCGGTATTTTTTGCCTCTCTCTCTAATATATTGAAGGTTTCTTTTACATTGGTGACGGTATTTCCTACAATGTCAATGTTATACTCATTCCAGAACATAATCTCCTCAATTTCTTCAGTAGCTCACTGAGATAGATTCAGAACAGTGTTATAGCCTTATCTTAGTCCTTTATTGACCCTAAAATTATCCCCATTGACCCTAAAAAAACCTTATTTTTGAGGTGCTTGGCGACGACATCGCTGGTTAATTTGTTATTTCTTGGATATAAAAATGGAAGTATCTTGAAAGAAGATCACGGTTTTAAACTTTCTCAGTGTATTGTGTACAGTTGTGTAGCAACTTATATAAAAATGAAACCGAAAATATAATTCTACACTCTAAACTTACAATATCAAACCTGTTACAACAAATCATAATCATAACCATTTACGGGATATACTCCATCAACCTTAAATGCTAAATATTTTAAAAGTTTCCGTTGTACCTTTTCAATCTGTTGCATATAACATTTATAAATGGGATACCAAATTAAACTACAATATTCTAGTTTTGTTCGCATTAGCGATTAAGAAAAGTCCACACGAATTGTCTGAAGAGGATATCCACTTGGAACGTTAGGACGATGGCTCAATCAGGAAAAATCCAATGCGCAATTAAAGAAATGGAACGCATGAAAATAGAAATAATGGGCATAAGTGAAATGAGGTGGCCTGACTCAAGTTATTGTGATATAGAAGACTACAGAGTATACTATTCAGGATCAGAAAATGGTAAATATGAGAATGGGGTTGGAATTATCACGCATAAAAGTATAGCCAAACAAGTCAACAACTTCATACCAGTGAACGATAGAATCCTCCTGTTACAAATAAATACGTCACCGGTGAACACAAACATCATACAAGTCTATGCACCCACAGCAGACCATAGTGATGAAGAAATATCAGAATTCTACAAACAAATAAGCAACCTTAAGAGATATACCGAGACACGAACTCCTTATAATCATGGGAGATTTCAATGCAAAAATAGGTAACGGAAAAGAAGGGCAACATATTGGTCCACATGGATTAGGAGAGATAAATCAACGCGGAGAAACAATGAGTATCTTTGCAGCTGAGCATGACTTAATCGTGCTAAACACATTTTACAAACTACTGCCTAGACGCCTGTATACGTGGAAATCACCTAGAGACAACGGAGAAGACGTTATTATTAGAAATCAAATAGACTATATGCTTGTTAACAAAAGATATCGAAATAGTTTTAACAGTGTTAAAACCTACCCAGGCGCTGATATTCAATCTGACCACAATCCTTTAGTGGGCGTGTATAGAACTAGGTTAAAGAAAATACGCGGAAAAACTGTAAAAAAACATGACATGAGAAAACTGAAATGTAGCGAAGTAAAAGAAATAGTCAGCAAAACATTAAATAGAAAATTTAAAGAAATCGATAATACAACGGAAAGCACAGAAGATAAGATAGAATCCCTTAAGAAAACAATAGACGACATTAAAGACAATTTTATGAAGAACGAAGAAGGTAAGAATAATACATGGATGACGACAGAGATTCTGCAACTAATGGAAGAAAGAAGGAAAAACAAGAACGATAACTCCATGTATAAAACATTACAGCGAGAGATACAGAGAAAGATCAGAGAAGCCAAACAGAACGAACTGGAGAAAAAATGCCAAGAAATCGAAATTCTCCAAAGTAAATACGACGACTTCAACGTGCATAAGAAGGTAAGAGAAATTACAGGTAAATGTAAAAACAGAAGAGTAAGTAAACTTGTTAATGACAATGGAGAGATAATCGTGGACAAAGAGAGTATCAATGATACCTGGAAAAATTACATAAGAAATTTATTTTTTGATAAGAGAGAACCAGCCCCCAATACCTACGGAAACAGGACCACCTATACTAGTGGCAGAAATAAGAGCAGCCATAATATCACTAAAAGAAGGTAGAGCTCCAGGACCAGACGGAGTACAATCTGAATTTCTTAAACTTCTTGATGATGAATCTTTAAGAGTACTATGTAAAATCTTCAATAATATCTATGACACAGGCAATATCCCAAAAGATTGGCTACTTTCAGAATTTATTACCTTACCAAAGAAACAGGGAGCAAAAAAGTGCGGAGAATATAGGCTAATAAGTCTAATGAGCCATACATTAAAACTTTTTCTTAAAATTATACATCGTAGAATATACAAGCTATGCGAAGAGAGAATACAAGACACAAGTTTGGATTCATGAAAGGCGTAGGTACAAGAGATGCACTGTTTAGTCTACAAGTATTATTTAAAAGATGCAGAGATATGACTTGCGATATTTACACCTGCTTTGTGGACTACCAAAAAGCATTTGATACAGTTCAACACCAAAAAATGATGGATATTCTAACAAAAGCCCAAATGGATGATAAAGATCGGCGTATAATACAAAATTTATACTGGAACCAATCAGCCACAATAAGAACGAATTTTGGAGGTGAACCAACGGAAATAATCCAGATTCTACGAGGCGTTAGACAAGGTTGTATACTTTCACCTATATTATTTCTTAGTTTGAACAGTTTACAGCAACTAATAAACAAAGTAAATGAAGTAAGTGAAAGATTTGGACTTCAAGTAAATATAACAAAAACTAAATTTATGATCATCAGCAAAAATAAAGTTAGAGACGCTCAACTACTTATCAATAATACACCAGTGGACCGAGTAAAACAGTATAACTATCTTGGAACAACAGTAAATGAACAATGGGATCACTCACAGGAAATAAAATGTAGAATAGAGAAGGCTAGGAGTGCATTCAATATCATGGCCAAACTCTTTAAAAGCGACAATCTTAATCTGGAGATAAAAGTAAGGCTCCTACGATGTTATATCTTCTCAATATTGTATTACGGAGTTGAATCCTGGACACTAACTGAAGCAATGGAGAAAAAACTTGAAGCCTTCGAGATGTGGCTATACAGGCGAATTCTAAGGATATCATGGACAGACAAGATAACCAACGAGACCGTATTACGAGGAGTGGGCAAAGAAAGAGAGGTGATGTATACCATTAAAAGGAGAAAGTTGGAATATCTCGGACATATAATGAGAAACAGCACTAAATACAGATTACTGAAGGTAATCCTACAGGGTAAAGTATTCGGAAAGCGAGGAATTGGGAGAAGGAGAATATCATGGTTGAAGAACCTGAGGAAATGGTTCTCCAAAACAACAACGAATTTATTTAAAGCAGCAGTTAATAAAATAATTATAGCCAGAATGATTGCCAATATTCGGAACGAATAGGCACTGAAAGAAGAAGATATTGGCCACTAGGTGTATGAGTACTGATTAAATAGTCTCTGTGCTTCCTTGTCCAGAATCTAAGTATTTTTCTTTCTGTGGCCATGATGACGTTTATTTGGCGAGTGTTAAGCGATGCATAGGCGCATGCCTTAGGTCGAAAGCCACACTAATATTCCCATACTATTTTTTTGACGTAGCGGAATATTTTCCTGTATAGTACATTCGATGGTATTTTGTATGCCATTTTGGGAAGGCTAATACCTCTATAGTGGTCGCATACCAATTTGTCCCCCTTCTTGTGAAGAATCCCTAATTTCATTTAACTTTGCATGTCTTTAAACAATGTGTTGCCATATAGGGAAACTTTTTGTCTATTGGTCTCAGTTATTTGTTAATTTAATAATGACGTCTCTTATTTTTTGCTCGTGAAAAGAGACTCTCGAGCATTTTTAATAAAATTTTTTACAACATAGGGACCTCTACCGAATCTTCTTCATGGTTATTACATAACAGTTAATCAAAATATGTAACCTACCTATTGAATATCTGTTCTTTGTACCTCTACCTGTACACAGGTCTTTCTTCGTCATTAATCTCAACTCAATAAATGCCGTCACCAAAATGTATTCTATTTACAAGTTGGATTAAAGTCAAACGTCAATAAACTTACTTTAACCTTTAATTGTGGGTTATTCCTAATTTAAATAGTAATTTCTGGATTGTATTTCACACAATTAATTACTAAATATTGCCTAATCAACCTCAACAGTATATTTAAATATAAAACTTTGGTTTTTAGGTAATCGCTTCTGTGTTTCTGATAGCTGCAGCTTCAGCTGCTGTTGTTCCTCAATACCCCTCGCCTCAACCAAATGTTGGTCACCAACATCACCAAAATCCTCCTCAAGCTTACCACCCAGGCAAACCATAGAACAACCACAACCAGCACCAGTGTCTGGACAAAATCTTGATAAACCGGTTGAGCAACCTCAACCTTCCCATCCGCAAGATTTGGTCATGTTAATGGAGCACTAGAACATCAACAAGCTAGAGCATTTGGTCAAAATTTAAATCGACCAAATCAGCAACCCCATCAGCCTGCCAATTTTGGACAATATAACAAACCTGTAGAACAAAACTCACAACCATCATCATTAGTTGGTCTCCGATCTGCCGGTTTTGGTCAACATCTTGACCGACCAGTCGCCCATAAAACAGGCAATGAATACAATTACGATAAACAGTCTACCAACTACTACAATGGTAAGGAATCAAAAATTTTGAGATATGAATCAGAACAAGATCCCGAACAAGGTTACAAATTTGCGTAAGTCACTTTTTCAGTAAAATTGTTCAGTTTTATTAACATAAGTTTATTTTAGTTACCACACAAGTGACGGCAACGAAGAAGTTCAAAGGAGCGAAGAAGCAGAAATAAAGAGAATTGACGAAGAACATGCCATAGTGGCGGTGCAAGGTGTTGTTGAGTATGTTAACCGTGAAGGCAAACGTGTAAGATGGACCTACACTGCTGATGAAAATGGATATCATCCATCTGAAATTACAGTTACATAAATAATTTTATGATGTGAGATGGAAAAAGTACAAAAATATAAAAATAAAACTATTAATAAATTCTACATTCTTTTATTTTGAATAAAATAAATTATTAAAACAGGTATAATAAACAGAAATTCACAATTACCTATAAAAAAAAGAGGGCTCTAAACATAGCGATAAATTTGTTCAACATGCTTGCATATACAAATAACTCAAAATCAAGTTTTAAAACTGCACATAAACTGTGCATAAATTTAAATATTATGTTTATTTATTACAATTACTGGTTGTAATAAAACCGTTCTCAAAAAAGATTATTATGTATATTTGTACCGTAAAGGTAAAGGGTAGTAACTCCATTTTTTTCTAATTTGGACTTCAAACTGTGGCTAAGCTTAATATGTTCCAATCTTATTTAGAGCAAAAGATGGTATGTGAAGTATTACTGGTGACCTAGATATTCTTATAAGAAAAAGTAGTATATCCTTTAAAGAATGAGGTAAAGCATAGTGCTGTACTCCATGACTCCATACTGCTGTAAACAACAGTATCTCTACACTAGTGTTAGTCACATTAATTGACAGAGCGGTCCAAAACTGCCAAGATATCTAGGACTAGAATTAAGCCGTGAAAAAATGTACAAATTATATACCTTAAAGTGTGAAGAAGACCACATTCCAAAGAATGAAATTGTTAAATTATGGCAGTATGAAAAAATTTTAAATAATGATTTTAATTTAGCATTTAAATCGGTTTCCGTAGATACTTGTGATAGTTGCGATCAGTTTATGCTACAATTAAAAAACTGTTCCGAGCAAGAAACAATAACATTACGGCGAAATTATGGACAGCATCTTCAAGAAGCAAAAAGTCGATACAAAATAAAAGCAAACGATAACAAGGAAAGCAGACAATCAGCTGGAAAAACTAAAATTATAATGTGTGATTTGCAGAAATGCTTGCCTACGCCTTGTTTGACAAATAACCAAAGTTTTTACAAGCTGAAATTATGGACTATAAATTTCACGATATACGACGTCACCGAAAATAAACCCTATTGCCTTATCTGGATGAATCAGAAGCTGGAAGGGGTGGCCATGAAATTGCCTCGGCATTAACTAAATGAGCTATGACAGTTTTATCACAAACTGATGTGGAAGAATTGGTTATTTTGTTAGATAATTACTCTAGTCAAAACCGCAATGTTATGGTAATGATGAGCTACTTTTGGCTTTTGAACATCTGCCCTAACTTACAAGTAGTTAACCATAAATATTTACTGAGAGGACACACTCATTTAAAAGCTGATCAAGTGCACGCTATAATTGGAAGATCTGTAAAAAAACAGCCAACAATGCAGATGGTAACGCCTTGGGATTGGCAGCAATTAATCAGTTCCGTAGGTGCTCAGGTGATTAAAATGAACAAAGATGACTTCAAAAATTTTGAAATACTTTACGCTCAGTCTCAATTTCCATTCATCAGTAAAAAGAAAAATACCGACAATAACAATTTCTACATTTCAAACGTAGTTCAATTCCAAGTAAAAAAAGACAGACCGACCATAATTTTTTATAAATAGGGTTTGAAGAAATTAGACCCAAAGAATTGCACGTCGCTAGAAGAACAGCAATTGCGACCAATCTCAGTTACCACTACGATATCAAAAACCGAAAGGGATTACACAGAAGAAAAAGGATCACTTACTTATCCTTTTGCAATGAATCCCCAGTCAGTTTTAAGAGTTCTATAGAAATTTAGTTGTTACCAAAAAAAAATATGATGATAGCGATGATGAATAAATATTTTTTTATCATTTTTTGTGTTTTTGTTCGAGTTTATGTAGGCACTTCTTATTTTGTACACTGTTTTATCTGCTGGTACATGCCGAGGCAAAAGACCTTAAGTCCCAATATTATCCAATATATAAACAAATTTTTTATCATAGTAGGACAATATTGATTAACTAATATATATCGTTACAATTGTATAAATACATAATTTCATATGTCTTCAGATTAAGAATGATTGCAATAATTTTCTGGAACTCATTATCTCAAAACTTCACTAGGTGACATACTACTTAGAAGAACATTTTTAGAGACAATGGGTATTCAACTGCTTGAACCACATGCAAGATGTAGAGCAATTGCAACAAACCTGCCATGGGTGATAAGTATGCGACTCAGAGAAATGTTTGATATCACATTGAATGTACAAAATATTGAAAAATCCAATGGTCGTTGTTTTTACTGTGAAAGCAAGAAAAGTCGAAAAATAAAGTACAGTTGTTACTCATGCAATAAATTTATGTGCTTAGAACACATAAAGGGTATATGTGTAGAATGTTCAGAAAAAGATTGACTTTTTTTAAGTTTAAAGTTACTTCTTATTATTAGAGTTGCTTAAGTGTGGTTATTATAAGTGGATAATTTCATTTTTAGTTTTAAAAATAACTCAGCAAATTTTTTGTTTATATTACGATTTTAGAGTTTTTTTCTCACTATTTAGAATAGTTGCTTGTTTTTGTTAAGGAATTATTTTTGTCAAAATAAATGTTTATAAATATAATTTTAAATAAAACTGCATTTATTTTAAATAAAAAAGTATTCAATAAGACCCTTGAAATAATTAAATTTTAAAAAAATTTGTAAAATTTACAGTACTAGGGCATGTATAAACATACGGTCCCAGAGACGGACGTTAGCACTTGCGTCAAAATAATTCGCGTTAGCACTGAAAGGCTAATGTACTTTTTGGACAAACGTCTTTGTTTCATACTCTCTTAATTTTTTTTATTAATAGGTACCTTCAAGGAACTACATGCTTTTGGCATTTTTGAATAGTGTTCCTTACATGGGACTTCAGGAAGATCTAGTTACAATACTAAAAAAAAATTCCAATAAGAATATACACTGTTCCGTGGTTGTATGGATGTGTGTGTGTGTGTGTGATAAACTTATTTACCACCACGGAAACAAAAATAATAATTAAATTGAATCGAATAAAACGTAGAAACGAAGGGACGGTATTTTTCTACATATGTATCGCGGACCGTTGCAAATGGTGTCTTTAAGATTACTGAAAACTCAAACTAAATCAGAACACGCGTTCTTTGATTTTAAAAGCCAGACGATAAATTTTTTATTATCGGGCTGGTCGTAAATGCAACGTACTCAAAATGTATAATTGAAGTGTCGACCATATATGTTACTTAAACTCACATTTACTCCCAAATATGTTTAATATAATTATTAAAGAAAAATGAACAAATTATTAGTACATTTTTACTGATGGGTCAAAAGATGCAAATGGAACGGGCTGTGCAATGTTCCACGAAAATAAAAATTGCCATCATCAGTATAGCTTACCCAGTGAATGCTCAATATATACAGCAGAAATGATGGCGATATTGTTTGCTCTTCAGTATGTAGTACTAAATCCTACTAGCAACTATGTTATATCTACTGACAGTAAAAGCGTGGTAGACAGATTTAACAACATATTCTCCATTCGCTTAGCTAGGGCATATTTTGACAGACTCATTGTCGGAAACCTACAACACAACAATTCCTACTTCTCAGTATTAATAGCTCAAGTATACTACTATTGCAGACTTCTTTCTTTGAAAAAAAGAAGAATTATTCTAAATAGTGGAAGTGTATACTAAACCCATCAAATTTCCCTGTATATTTAAAATATACTATTTGAGTTACTACAATTTAATATTATATTGTAGTAAATATTGTTGTTAGTTCTATTTAGTTTATTTAGTTATAGTTCTATTTTGAATTTTATTATTAGGGATAGTCAAAGTTTTCCATTTGTTTTATCAGATAATGCGTTGGTAAATTTTCCTTAAATAAATATGATAAATGTTCTTTAAAAGTTAATATTTTTAGATGATTAAGGATGCTGTTAAATTACAAGGTAATCAACCTGCACAAAGATTTATTCAAAACACCAACCATTTTTTTAATTATTTGCTCATTCGGCGTAGGTTGATCACTAAAATATATTTATGAAGTTCTGTAAATATATTCTTAATAACAAAAACATTTCAGTTAACATCGATGTATATATAGCATGTATAAAGTTTCTATTATATATAAAATGTATATTATATACAAAAAATATATTTTATAAAAAAGTTACAGTAATTTAGTTTATACCGTTAAGTTGCTCCAAATGTAGGCAACCAACTTAAACTTTTTTGGCATTTAGCTGGAGTTTCTTGAGAATATTTTTAATAAACGTTTAATATTTTCCAGTTAATTTATTATTTTTTAAAAGTCATGATAATAATGCTGAATAAGCAATATCACTTTAAAAAATAATAATAAAATTAAATATATTCTCAAGAAACTTCAGCATAAATGCTAACAAAAAGTTTAAGTTGGTTGCCTATATTTGGCGTAACCTAACGATATAAACTAAATTACGGTAACTTTTTTATAAAATATATTTTTTACATATAATAGAAACTTACTATCTTTATACGTGCTATACGTTTCTAAGTCATATAAGTTTGCAAAAGAGGTCGACGAAATACTTTAATGAAATGCGCTATGAGCACGTGTGCTTGGTCGTGTAGTAATTTCCAGCCACTTCTAGTCTGTCAAAAAGTAACTAACTTCGTAAAAACATAATTACTAAAATCACTAGACAGTTCGGACTGGGATTAGCGAACCGGGTATACAAACAGTCAAACACATAAACCACATTGAACTGAAAATTCTTAAAATTCTTTATGAAACTATACAATTAGGATTAAATGTAATAATTACATGGATCAAGGGCCATTCGGGAATAAAAGGCAATGAGATTGTAGACAATTTGGCTAAATCGGCATATATGCTTGGAGTAAAAGTAAACAAAAATTTAATTCCAGCGACAGATATTGACACCGTTAGTAGACAAAAACTTAAAAATAATTGGCATTTACATTACACAGAATGTAAGACTGGGTTAAATTTTTATCATTGTAACACTAGGATACCCTCAAGAAGATGGTT